TGGGTATGGGAGGAAGGAGACCAATAACCAAAGAACTCCAACCTACATTGAGCCATGAATGTTCAAATCTGCCAAATTTGTAGCAGCTGGCAAGGCGGAATCAGACTGCTTGGTGTAGCAGTGCTGACGAAAGGAAGTCTGCTATGTTCCAGGTTCATGATCGCCCATCCCCCAACCACTTGCACTCCTTACTTGGTGTGTCTGGATGCCAGCACCAGGGTATACTCGCAATGCCAGGTCATTGCTGTCCACTCAAGGCTTATGGAAAACTACCAAAGGGTTCTGATTTTCCTGCTAGGCCAGAGAGCACACAAAAGGTGGTTGGGAGGAATGGCCCGTTTTATTTTAATTGTGAATGATGGGTTTCCTGTTTGTAGGTAGGTGGATCCCTTCTTTCCTGTGCTGTCTTGGAAGATGAATTAGGAAGACACTGGTAATTGACATAAGGACTTGCAGGCATCAAAGCAAAAATGTTCTTGCACGGTAAAATTTAAGGTTGCAAATAGTGCAATCACTATCCCAAAAACATTGTTTCAGATAGTGATTCGTCAATGCTTGGTGTTCTTTCTTGTGCTAGGCATATTACATAGCCCAGAATGACATCAAGAGAAGCAGTATGATGCCTAGCTAAATACTGCTAAAATGAACCAAAATGGCATGCCACAAAAAGTACTTTTGGAAAGGATCAACTTGTTGCCAGACAACCCCCTTGGTCAAGCTGTGACCAGTCAATTAAGAAAAATACAGTCGTGTGAAAAAGTATACCCTCTTTAAATTCTATTGTTTTAAGTATTGGGACATAATCATCTGGTCCTTAGCAGGTCTTAAAATTAGGTAAATACAACTTTAGATGAACAACACAAATCGGGTTGAGATCTGGACTTTGACTGTTGAAGATTTGCTGGTGTGTTTGGGATCATTGTCCTGTTGCATGACCCAATTTCAGCCAAACTTTAGTTGTCTGACAGATGGCCTCACATTTGACTCTAGAATACTTTGGTATACAGAGGCGTTCATGGTCAACTCAATGACTGCAAGGTGCCCAAATCCTGTGGTTGCAAAACAAGGCCAAAATATCACCCCTTCACCACCAAGCTTGACAGTTCGTATGAGGTGTTTGTGCTGCCATGCTGTGTTTGGTTTTCGCCAATCATCTCCACTTTGGTCTTGTCTGTCTAAAGGACATTGTTCTGGAAGTCTTGTGGTTTGTTCAGATGCAACTTTAAAAAGAGCATGCCAGCATTGCTTAGGGTTGCAGAGAGAAGAGGCTGTCTTCCTGGCAAACCTTCCAAACAAACTGTACTTATTCAGTCCTTTTCTAATTGTACTGACATGAACATTAACATTTAACATGCTAACTGTGGCCTATAGATTCTGAGATGTAATACTTGTTTTTTTTTTTTGCAATTTCGGAGTATTGCGCGATCTGACCTTGTGGTGAATTTGCTGAAACGTCCACACCTCGGAAGACTGGCAACGGTTTTCAATGATTTCTACATGCAAATAATCTTCCTCACTGTAGAACGAGGAGCTTTAAATGGTTTGGAAATGGCCTTATAACCATTAACACACTAGAAAGCTCTAGATCAGCAGACTGCTAAAAATTCTACGTTTACAGGAGGTGGTCACACTTGCTGATGATCAGTGAATAAAGGGCTTATCAATTAATGAAGGGCATCCGATTCACAGCACATAGCTGCTACTTAGCCTCTTAATTTTTCACACACACAACTTCTACCATTTTTGCTTTATGTCTGTCAAATAAAAAATGACACTGTGTAAAGGTGCCCATACACCTTGTGACTATAGTACGATAATCGCAAGGTGTATGGAAGGCGTGTGACTGTTTTTACTGTACGGTCGCACGTCTTTTGTCGGACCAGCAGGCTAGAAATTCTCAGCGGGTTTCTAGCCTGCTCGTTCGACAACTGCGGAACGGGCCGGTGTGCACACGCGCACACTGCCTGTTCAGCATTGCGATCATCGGAAGCCCGCCCAGCAGCGGGGCGGGCTTTCGATGATCGCAAGTACGATCTGCCTGTCCAAGATGGGCAGATCGTACAAGCTTTTAATTAGCTTACGACCACCGCAAGACAAAAGTCTTGCGATGGTTGTAAGGTGTATGGGCACCTTTATACGTCATGTATTGTTCATCTGAGGTTGTAATTAGGGATGTCCCGATACCACTTTTTCAGGACCAAGTACAAAGCACTTCCCCTCATGTACTTGCCGATACCAATTACCGATACTTTTTCTTAAAGGGACAGGTGTCTTTTAAAACAATACAGACTAATGATTTTAGGATAATTTCTTTGATTATGGAGAATTTTAATTTAAGACTGTTTTAGAACAATACAACATTTGTATTTGTATTTGCTTTCACACAGTTGTCATGAAACTACAAATACGATCATGCATCTGCCTCTGGGATCATTTAACCTATTCATGTTAGCAGGGGAGAATTGTAACTCTATTACTGCAGTGTACTGGAAGTGTGTGCTATGGATCATTTAACCTGGTACACACTTCCAGTACACTGCAGCAATAGAGTTACAATTCTCCCCTGCTAACATGAATAGGTTAAATGATCCATAGTACAACTACATGTTATGTACTATGGATCATGATTTAACCTTGTTGGTGAGGTCGTAGTCGGCGCTGTGTGGGAGAGCAGCGGCGAGTCAGCACTGGTCCGGTGGGAGGAGCTCCAGGTGGGGTCCTAATTTAGCTGGCCGGCGACTGCCCAGAGGTGCCGCGTGTGTCTGGGTCCTCTGGGTAGTCACCAGCCAGCTAAATTAGGACCCCACCTGGAGCTCCCCCCACCGGACCAGTGCTGACTCGCCACTGCTCTGTAACGCTTAGTAATTCAATATTCAGTAACTTACACTTTATAAATGCAACTCAGCTGCGGATAACGGGCTAACATCAGGATCTGACTGATTCGCTATAAATGCCCCAGTCTGTAGGTTACACAGGGAAAGTAATGGGATCACTATTTTATCTGTATTTTTTCACACAGGTAAATGTTACAACAACAACAACAACAACAAAAAAAGTCAATGCCTGTATGTCTGTCTATGCAAAGTAACATTAGAGAATAGTTCATAGCAATGCAAGTGTCACGGATACTTGCGGTTGGTTGTGTTGCCACATTTAGGGTACCCTCCGAGGTTTGACTGAGTCCTGGAACTCAAGAGGATCCTATGTGATCACTGGCAAGCTTCTACTGGTACTTTTTGTCTTAAGGTACACTGTCCCTTTAAGATAAGCAGGAGTCCGACGTCCAGGGTGAATTGTTTAGTAGTTGGAAGCAGTCAGAGGAGGATTCAGTGGGAGGATTGGAAACAATAGGAGACGGTCTCTGGTATCACAGTCTGCAAGGCTGACATGCAAGGACCGATCAGTAGGAGGCAGAGCAGCAAGTAGAGCTGAGCTGTCAGCGAGAGGGAAGAGCAGAGCGGTGACTCATACTCTGCAACCAAAGGAGACAGCCGACGGGGAAATGATCAGCGTCTGAACTAATTACTGAGCAGTGTGACGCTGAGGAAGTGGGCGGCGCCGAACGCCGCTCTGGGATCGTGGACGGGTAAGTATCTTACATGCAACCTGTAGGTAAAGAAAAAAAAATAGCGCAAGCTTCGGCGCTTTGTATCGGGGCATTTTGACAAGTACTTGTCGAAATGCCCTGTATCGGTCCCGATACCGATGCTAGTACCGGTATCGGGACATCCCTAGTTGTAATTACCTAAACATTTTAAGACCTGCTAAGAACCAGATGATGTCCCGATAATTAAAACCATACAAATTCAAAGAGGGTATACTTTTTCACATGACTGTACGTTGCCGCACTGTGTCCCAGACAAGTAAAGGAGAGTCCACTGTGGCAGCCCAAGAGCACAGAGCAGACGCTGAGTAGTGTGCTACAGCTTTAGCAAGAGTACCGATAGATTATGATTAGGCAACACCCACTTATGGTTCCAACCTATTAAGCAACATGGACTTCTGGTTTCAGAGATGACTGCATAGTGAGGGTGAAGCAAAATTTAATTGTATAGGAGTCAATTGCTAGCATTTACATACACTGTAACGTTCCAGCTTTAAAAGTATGCAATTGCCGGCATAGAAAAAAAAGCCCTACCTAAATTACACTTTTACTCATCAGAATTTATGGTCACAGGACATTCTTGTCCAGAATGTTCTTTCTGTGAGCAGGAGGAGGTTTTCTTCTTTGGGTGTCCACATCACTGCCTGCGTGACACTTCCTAATGGCTGTCCAGCGGTGGGGTCCTCTCAAGATCCGGAAGGGGAGTCTACAGCAATAACATGACTGTCCCTCGTTAGACCATCTGCATTGCTAAATCACTGGTGCCCAGCACTTAGAAACAGAAGCAGCGAGGGACAAGGACTGGGTGACAACATCCCTTTCTGCAGGTATTTCAAAGAAACTGAATGGGTGAAAATTTGGTGGGAAGGGGGTTATGGTTTGTGGAGAGTGACTTTAAATGGGCAATTCTATTTTCTCACCAAATGTGAGAAAATTAAATGACCCCCACAAAACTGCTCCCTCTCCCCACCCCCGCTGGTCATACCTTTGGGAGAATCACCATTTACCACCACGGCAGACATTGTACACTGTGCTGCAGCCCTGCCCATTTTAAATAACGCTGACAAGTGGCAAGCACTCGTCAGCATGGTCACCTGACCACACTGACCAATGAGAAGCGCTTTTTAAAGAAGAAAGTATTTGAAATGCTCAGTGCAGGGCTGCAATGCAGTGTACAGACCATGTACCAGGCAGCAAATGGCAGTTTCCCCAAAAGGCATGACCAGCAGAGATGGGAAAAGGGGCAGATTTGTTGGGGGTAATTTCATTTTCTCAGATTTGGTTAGAAAGTGGAATTACCCTTTAGAATATAAAAACAATTCAAAGGGACACTTTGGTATTTCAATTTGCTTTTAGTTTCACTCTATACAGTAATTCAGATTAAAACAAAACTCACCAAGCTGTTTTCTTGTCTTTGTTTTTAGATGGATTTCTTCTGCATCATCTAACACTAAGTTCATATATTCATCAAATCCCTAGAGATAGAAAATACAAAGAGAAACACCTTAAGTAATATCTTAAGGGAGTGCTGCATCTAATCTGCTGAGTACAAAATGTAATAAAAATACAGCTCAGAAGTGCTGCACTTTTACTAAATGTTTTATACAAAATTGCTAAACATATTAGGGGAATTTATCATAACTGGAAGATAAAATCTGGAGCAGTTGCCCATAGCAACCAATCAGCTACTCTCTTCAGTTTGCTCAGTGAAGCTTTGGAAGTATTTAGTAGTGCTAAGAAGCGCTTCTCATTGGTCAGTGCCGTCAGGTGACCGCGTTGACCAACAAGTGCTTGCAATTTGCGAGCGAAATTCAGAATACATGGAACAGGTACAGATAGTACTTCGGGTCCCCCGTTCGCAGCGCCGCTCTCGGCACTCATTTCAGAAAATAAACCAGCCCTGCTACTTGTCCGTAGCAGGGCTAAAACAGTGTAAAAAGCACTTGCCCGGCGCCCGGAACTACATGTCCCGGGCGTCGGGCGATACGAATTCCACACCCGATAGAAGAAGATTGGTTGCCATGCGCAGCTGCTTCAGATTTTGTCTGCTCCAGTTCTGATAAATTCTCCACACTATGTGTACCCTAAACCAACATTTTTTCTACTAAAACTACATATTAAGCATGCAACAAATACACATTCATTTTTTTTATTGAATATCAATTCTTACGGTTTCTCTTACTCTCAAAAGCCTTCCCTGCGCGCTCTGGTCCTATTTCTTTTCACTCACATTTCCGGTTTTGTGCATTCTTGAAATAACTCTGGGGGCACACATGCCATTCCTCCCCCTTCCCTCCTCACTAAAGCTTGCATAACATTCTGTTCACCCTCATCACTGTTAACCATTACACAAAGCTAAACAGAATTCTAATATTACTAATCTGAGCACTCTTACTAATTAAGAAAACTCTATATATTGATAAAAATCTCCAAATAACTCAGCCTTCTGATGGCTCACATGCAGACTTTTTTCAGAAACTAGCCTGTGACACTGCGTGAAAAGCGAAGCTGCAAGGTGCGGAGCTGAGTGCAGCCAGATGAAAGACATTATCTTCAGCCAATCGGCTCACGTGTAACAACTAAATGAACTTCGCATGTGGGTTTACATGAACAAGCCGATTGGCTGAAGATGACATTTTTCATCTCAGCACACTATCCAGATGGAAAAACACACTGCAATCGAAGGTCTGCGCGCCCTTGCTTCCCTTTGCTGCGTGCCGCTTTGCATGAAGCGTGTCACAGGCTTTAAAGAAAACAAAACTCGCTAAGATAACAAGCATGACACTTTCAGCTTACCCCTGCACTGAGAAGGGAAATCAGAGGATATATATCCGTTTTAGAGCTTTACCTCGTTAAGCTCATTATTAAAATTACTATATTGTAGATCTAAATTTTTATAATATAAGTTTTGGGTTTAGTGTCGCTTTAAAAAGAAGCTTTCTATTTTAATAAACTGCTGTGATTTGCTAAAACAGTACATTTTTGGAGGTGCCTTGTACACTGCATGTGTACAGACTCGGACTGCACAAGTCAACCTACAATCTACTGCAATAGTAGTTTCCTTATCAGTGAGATACTTTCTAACCCTATTCTTGCTTTAAAGCAGTGGTTGTGAACCTTTCTAGGGCCCGGGACCCTTTGGTAACATTTGCCAAGTTGTGTGGGACTCAGCAACGCATTGGACTCCAGATGTCGCTGCAGCAGCCGCTGAGTGTGTACAGCTGCACTTTTCTATTCACAGCCACTGCTGCACTGGGGGGCTGAAGAGCCACTCACATGCGTGTAGCCCAGCTGGTTCTAAGCATGGGCTTGCAAAAGCTTCCCCTCTGGGTACAGAGATCAAAAAACAGTGCCAGCCTGCACCGCTATATTTGCCCCTTGCTAGAGCATTACCAAATCTAAGCATAGACCATGCTTTCACACAGCCTCTGCTCATGCCTGCAACAACCAGCTGACACTCCCCATTGTAGAACCCAACTGTAAATCATTAGAACACACATTTGTCTCAACAATATTAGGTGGTGTAAAAAAAAAAAAAACACAACTTACAATGATGCAACCTTCTATACGCATGTTCACTTGCTCATAAAGCCACACCTGGATTCGTGATCTCTGTAAGGATGTAGAGAAAAATTATTTATCGTATGTAAAATATAGCAAACAGCGAATTAATTTCAAAATATACTACTCACATTTTGAAGATATCTGAAGATTAGATTCTGGTAAATTTAGATTAAGGAAAACCGTAGAAGAAACATTTTCTAAAACGTATCAAACTGCAGTTTGCTTTACAAAAAACCTGATTTACAATAACCCCCTTCGTCTTGAAAGTAAAGCGTTTTGTGAACACAACTATTAATCCGGCACGTTAACTATCATAGATAAATGCTATTTTGACCTGCATCAAAATAGCTGCCAAAGCAAGGCACAAACAAAACACGTGTTTTACTTCACTTTGTCTTAAAACGTAGAGAAGAGACGCTGCCACAAAATATATATATATACACGCGCGCGCACACACACACACACACACACACACACAAAAAGAAAAGGGATACGATGGGCTGAACCATCACTTTCTGCACTTTTTGCCCCTGTCCGCGGTAAGCCATTTTTTGTCGAGAAGTTCGGAAATGCTCTAATGGCCGCAAACGGATAAACCAATCGACAGCGGAAGGAGAAAAACAAGAATGTACAATGCACTCCGGAAGTACTATTGCCCAGTCGGCCATATTTGATAATGGCGATAATCAGCCAAAGAATCGTGTTGAATGGGGTATATTTCCAGCGAGACGTGTAGTTTTAAAAGCAACTCTCAATAGTGTGCCAATTCCTTGAACGGAGGTAGCATTATACAGCTGTATATAAAAAATACAGCCACACGCTATATACAAGGAGGGACAGTTTCGTTTATACAATGTATAGCAGCATAAGGTGTTTGGGCATATAGAACTTACAGTGCAGTCTTATGACGTGTTAAACGCCGTATGTAACGTAGAGTATGAATTAAATTAGGATTCAGGAAAATGCCACAATGATTTTTAAAATATATCTCTTGCGTTGGGGTTACCCCTTCACCCCTACTGCTTGGTTTTTTTTTCTATGGACTAAAATAAAGAAGATATACTTACCTGCGCCTCAATCCTGAGTTAGTGACACCTCCCCTCTCTCCCCCTTTGCTCTGGCAGTGGTATGTCCCTCGGCATCTTCCCATCTAATTAGGGTTCCCACCTGTCCAGGATTCACCCGGACAGCCCGGGTTTTGAATGCTGTTTCCAGGTTTCATGGCAGTAGAAACCCGGACACAAGATGTCAGGCAGACAGGGGCAACCAAAATTAAGATAGGGGCTACTGGAGCCCCACTGAAAATCATCTCAGCTGTGATATTTACATATGAATGGGTGACGCTATTTACATATGAATAAGCCACAACTCATTCTCCCACAAAAAATGTCCGTGCATCACTAGAGCGTTCGGGTTTTGCTTGAAGAAAAGGTGGCAACCCTACATCTAATACACAGTGTCAGACGTTATGAGGTCATGGATCCATAGATCCAGAGCATTGCGGAGAAAAAGCTGTGGGGACCAGTTTAGCAGACCAAGGATCAGGTGTGTATATCTTCTTTATTTTTACTCCCTAGAGACAAAGCAAGCAGTTGACCCTTGCAGTGCGGGGATAGCCCAATTGCAAGGGTTAACATTTCAAAATCCTTGAGTTCTGCTTGAAGGCCCATTTCCTGCCGAACAAAAAAATAAAGTACACTTGCAGTGGTACCCAGGTTTGCAAGGGTTTAAATGTTCATGTTTGTTTTTTAGGAGCTGCAGTAAAGCAGATATACTTACCTGAAGCTCTCTCACCCAGCCGTCAGCATTCTCCTCTTCTCCCCCTCCACTCCGGCTGGGAAATGTCCCTCTGCATCCTCATGTCCATGAAAAACTGCATTAGACGTCATGAGGTCAGCGACCGCCAGAGCCCAGGAGACTTCTCCTGCAGAGACCGGTCTAGCAGCCCTGAGGGAGCCAACAGGAGAATTGAACCAAGTAAGTAAATCTGCTTTATGTCAGCCCCTACACTAAAACGAGCACTTAAAAGAGAACTATAGGGTAACCTTTTTATCCCATAGTTCTCTTTAGGGTCACGGGAGGACATATACTAAGCTCCTCCTGTGACCCAGAGCTCAGTATATATTGCGGGCTTATGCCCGCAGCCGGATCCCGACAATACTGATGAGATCAACCCAGCTAGCTGATTTACAGTGGGCCAGCTGTGCCCACCCCCTCCGCCATCCATTCCTCCAGTTAGCGATGGAGGAGCGGAGTGGGAATCCCTGCAGAGAGCGGTGACTGACAGTCACCACTCTCTGCAGGGAGATGATGGGGAAGTGAGCGAGCGATGGTATGTGTTTGTTCACTTCCCAATCTATAGAGTCCACGTGTGACAGTTTCATTGTGAATCACTCACCTCATAGTTCTCCTTTAAACCTTGCAGTGTAGGGGTAGCCTCACTGCAAGGGGTACATTTTTTTGTTTGGCCAGAGATGGGTTTTAAAGGAAAACCCAGTCTAACGGGTCTATTCACTAAGCTGCCGAGGGTGAGCCGATGAATATGCGTTCGGCTCGACTGAGCCGCTTGGCCACGTTCGGGAGCTGTACGGGCTATTGTGAATAGCTCGTACAGCACCCCTTCGGTTCTACTGAACCGAAGGGGTCGTGGGGCCGAAGCTAGCCGAAGGATCGGCCGAAGCTACGGCTAGATCCTTCGGCAGCTTCGTGACTAGACCCCTAAGTTTATCAGACCCACCAAACTAATGTAGCAAATCAAACTCCTGATTTAATTATACTGATAATGTACTGCAGGGGCCTTTTTAACTTGGGTCAGCTGTTTAGAAGGGCTAATAATGGAGGCTACGATATGTGCCATCCCCCTCACTATGAAAGGGGTGTACACAGCAGCCATAATGTCAGTGTATTGGAAGTCGTTCCGGGGAAAGGATAGGAAAGCTGTAACACTACATTGGGAGGGATTATGCACTCCTTGCAACCTCTCCAATTGCCCTTTTCCCCTCTCAGACCACAACCTTGTCAGTTTCACGCTTACCCTGTCCCCAACCCTGAATCTGCCTAATCAGCACACTGTTATCGGGAGAAACCTTTGCCACTTCAACCCTTCTTTTCTCTTCTCTGCTACTCATTACCTCTATGCTGTCCTAACTCTTAGCTGACAGCTAGCTAACAAAACTAACAGACACAGGGTGGTGCTTTATTCCAAAACTGAATTTACTTCTGTGGATAGTTCTGTAAAACTGCAATACATTCAAATACATCAGAATTACAATATGTGGCACTTCCAAATATATATACATTTCTTTGGACAGAGCCCACCTTACAATTCATAGCACACAAAAAGTGGTGTAATGTAAATATACATTAACCTTTAACAAATAATAGACTGACTTTGAAGCATATGTGTATCAAAGGGAAAAACAAGAGGTTCACTGGTATGCTTCTGGAAGCCGAGGTGGCTGCTGCAATCTGAGAGTGAAACCTTATTAACAAACTATACACTTTATTAACAAGTGCAAGACACTTGCTCTTTCTTTCATGACAGGAATTAAACTACAATTACAACAACAACCACTAGATGGTCTCAGTAATAATAATGTAATAGACAGTACACTCCCCGTCTGGTATAAATATATACCACTACTCTATATCTGTGGATTACTGTAACATTCAATTAGGCAACTCTTTTATTCTGAAAAAGAACAATCAAATCTGAAACAGGTCAGAGATGTACTTTAGCAACCCTGTGGTTAATGATTTTAACCTCTACTTTGCGAACCTTACCATCACCATTGGATATGGCCTTTACAAGACCCATTAGCTATTCATTGCGCTTTGCTTGAGGGTCTTTGAACAAAACAAGATCTCCTTCTTGAACATTTGGCTTCTCCTATTTCCACTTTTTGTTTGGAGTGATGACAAATACTCTTGCTTCCAAGATTTCCAAAAGGTATCAGCAAGGCTCTAAACTTGTGTCCACTGACACTAAAGGTCTTTTTGTGTGCTACTGAAAATGATTGATGTGAATAAGTGTTGCTATACCTCTCACAAAAGCTTTCCAACTTGAAAAATCTGAGAAATCTATGAGAGTCATGCACTTCAGTTACTAAGAAATCTATGAGAGTCATGCACTTCAGTTACTAAGACTGTCACTTCAGGTCTGATCTTACTGTCAGAATTTGGTTCAATAAGGTCAAATGAATTGGCTTCAGATTGATAATTTGTAACTGAATGATGTAAGAAATCTGGACCTAAAAACCAGTTGGTATGTTTCAAGTAAGATGCTTGGATTGGCCTAGTACCATAATCTGCTGGATTCTGGCTAGTGGTAACGTAATGCCACTGATCTGGATTGGTGAATTTTCTAATGCGGATTATTCTGTTTGAAACATATACAGATACTCCTCGCTTAACGACTTACCTGTTTTGCGACCACTCGCACTTACGACCGTCCTCCGAGCGACCTCCGACCTCGTGCGTCAGCGCCAGTGCGACGCGTCGCCGGGGGAAGTGACGTCCTCCGTTCTTCACTGCGGGTCCCTGTGAGTATTTTCATTGCCCGTTCATTACACTGTTCGGTACTGTACATCGGCAACGCTATACAGTACTGTACTAATGCAGTACAGTACTGTATAGAGTTCCTCACTTAACGACCTGGTCGTAGGAACGGAACTCGGTCGTTAAGTGAGGAATACCTGTACATAAAATCTTCTGGAAGTATTATGATATAACCTAACACAGCTTTGCTGTCAGCATAATATTTAACTGCAACAGGTTCAAAGCACATGTCTTCGATAATCAGTTCTGCTAGCTCAACTTGCAAAACAGCAGCACATAACTCTAAACGTTGCACTGTTTGTGCTGGTCTAGGAGCTAGTTTAGATTTTCCCATAATAAAGCTTACAGGACAGTTGTAGAATGTGCTCTGATTTGGGGGTGCCTTAAATTACTGATGAACAACTGAATCTTAAATAAGTGTTGGGTTTATTTACAAATAGGGATATACATACATATTACAATTAAGGGAATTTGAAAGGGGAATTGGGGATCGGAATTGAGGTTAAGGATCCTACAGCTAGCTACACCATTCTCTCACTCTAATTCACACATGCCATGGGGTTTTTCTCCTGTTCTCAGAACACGCCTCTCCAGCAGGTCTCAGCGAATCACATTCTTGATTGCAGAGTTCAGAAAGACTTGTCTTGTCCAAAGGTCTTGCTGTTCAGCTAGGTTAGTGTCACACAGGAAGAAGGTTCCATCAGATGCCCCTGCCCCCATCCCAGCATATATGCCTTGCTGACACAGGTGTGGGCTTTAAATACCAGCAGGGGGTTGGGCTTGCCCCAGGACATGACAGTCCAGCAGATCTCCCTTGATCAGTGTCCAGCCCCAAGAACCCTTTGATGGTCTTCATTCGCATATCAAACAGCACGGGTAGCTCACGATATTAAGGAACCTTTCCATCAAAGATGTATCATAGATGTCAATTATTTTAGCTTCCAACAACAGTGACAGAGCTTACTGTCGGTCTATAGATTCCAACTTCTCCTAAACTCCGTTGAAGGGGCAGAGGATCGACACCTAGAACAAGGTCCTTTTAC